CCCCATAAAGTAAATCATTCTATTTAGGTAGTCAGCCCCTTTCCTGCCTCTAAAGAAACACATCAAGGCAGCAAGCAGCCTTAAGTAAAGCTTTGTATGCTTCTTCTATAAGCATTACCTCAGTGAGAGCAGAAAACCTGTACATGCAATTTGGGAGACATCTAATTAAAAGTCCCGATATTACCAATTAGCTGCCAAAAAAAGCTATTTCGCTTTTTTTTTTTTTTTTAAGTGTTGCAGAGTCTTCTGCACTGTGAATTTAACAGTGTGAATAAGGAAGCAACAGTCATAAGAATCATAGATTCAAAGACCTCTTTTTTATGATTGATTGCATGATACAATATTTATCATCTTAATATATTTAAAATATATGTTAACCTCTGGTGTGACAAATTAAGTTAAGCAATTTTGTTAAATGATGGTAACTTTAACTGGTATTGGTAGGAGAAGACAGGTCTGGCCTTACCTTAGTCACAGCGGGATATCCAGCAGCAACTTCACCAGAACAATAGGGCTTTTCTTCATGGGAAACTTCAATAGAGGAAGCCCACTGGTCCAGGAAACCACTGGGGGTATAGAGGCCACAGTCTCTCACACCTGTCTCTCGCTCAAAATCCTCGCATACCCCATCACCGTCATAGTAGTAGCACATGCTTGGCTCCTCTGCATTTGAAAACACAACACACTTCAAATAAGTTATCTGTACGATAAAAATAACTTCTTAAACAGAAGGACTGAGTGCATCAAAGATATCAGCGTGGTTCATCTTAAACATATCTCTCACCGCCACCCATCTCTCTTGTTGAGCATGTCCTCATTTGGAATGAGTAGAGAAACGAGATCAGATAAAGGCAAGAGATGAATGTAAGGGATAAAAGGAGTAAGAATCAAATTATAAGGCGTATATAGATGTATAAGGGCAGAAGGGGCAAAAAATAATAAGAAAGAATAAAAGAGAAAGAGAGCAAAACAGACAAGCACAGAAAGCGGAGGGGGTGGAGTGGGGTAAGGTCAATGGGTAGAGTAAGATACAGCAGTATTTTTTTCCAGACATCCCACCCGGAGTTTGGGGCTGGAACTGAAAGCTTATGGAGTGGAGGAGAGGGGAACTGAGCAGGGAGGTTTGCCTGGGCCTCACTGGTCTCAAGTCTCAGCTAAAGCAGCGTCAGCCGGTGGGGTTCCAGTTGGGGGGAAAGGCGGCACTCTGTGCCAAGTTGGCCAGGGCCTTCTCCTCGAAATTCCACCCATCTACAGCACAGCCAAAAGCTCAAGTCAGTTCTGTGCTCTGGCAATGGTAAAACGAGGGGCTACTGAGGGGGCATATAGAATAAGTCTCCTGCCACTCACTCAGCAGCAACAGAGGCGAGGAAGAAGGGGAGCAGTAAGACTGAGACAAGAGGAAGTTCAAACAGTGATTGTGAATGGTAGAGGAATAATAGGTAGAATGTGAGCTAAAGAGACAAGGAATAGAATGAAAAAAAGGTCAGAAGGGGTGTGCTTTAGTATTAGAGTTTGATAGAAATTAAACTTAGATTAAATTAAAAAAAGATTGTGACTGGGTGCCTTTGAGATTTTTTTAAAATTATTATTCTGATTGTGGGCACAAACAGACAAAGAAAAGAGTGAAATCTGACTTAAAATCCAACTGGATTGTAACAGCAGGTGGGTTTGTATGCAAAGAACTTGTGATTATCATCAGTTCCAGATTTAAACCAGCTGAATCATGATAGCCTATTAAAGCTCCTCCAGATTGTAACATCCTAGACCTGTTGTATACTTACTGTTAATTGTCCATCCAACTCGTTGACAAGCAGGCACTTGCTTGCACATACAGACAGATGGACAGAAGGTCCCTTCATTATAGTCTCAGATTTCTGTGTAAAACCTCAGCAGTGTTGAACACACACAAACATACACACACTTGCAAGCATCCCAGAGCACTGCAGTTGGTGGAAAAACAGCACAGCCAGTTCAGTCATCCAGCAATCTGACAGGGATTAAGTGGCCACTTCACAGAGGGTTACACATGTGTATCCATGTACTGTACATACACAGAATCACAAGAGTGGAAGAAATATGATTATCAGCTACTGGGACCCAGAACAAAAAGTCATTCATCTATTTATAAAATTTAAAAAAACAAATTATAAAAGGAGATGTCTCTCTTTTAACTATGTTAAAAAAAAGACCCAACATTTCTCTATTTAAAAGTTATGATTTCTAGTTTTTTTTTTTCTTTATACAAGAGGTTGGAGTGATTATGATATCTCCTGGTGTTTTATTTGTTTGGAATAGGCATTGAGTACTTGAAGTACACCCAGACGATGTGTCAAATCCTTTCATTCACAAAGTGAGTCTTGTTTAAATGTCTGCAGTCTCTTTTTATTGTGAAATAATGAGGCATGGGAATCCAAACAGATAATAATAATGTGAATTTTTTTTTAAAGCATTAATACTTTACTAGAAATCCTACCTTTATAAAATTGTGTGTGTTTATGTCCCGTTTGCCAATTAAAACAAGTTTATTTGTGATCACTAATGAAACAGTTTATTGTTTTTTTTTAGTTTTTTTTTTTTAACTTTTCTTGCACAAGGAATTATTTCAAGACTATTAAATGGTTATGCATACGCTGCTATATCATCCTATCATACTGAAATCAGAGCTATGGACAGAGCATCAGATAGCAGCAGAGCATTTTCAAGACTTACCAACACAATTGAAGAATGGCTCTTTCTTGCACTGACTAGAACAGCCATCCCCATTCATAAAGTTCATATCGTCACATTCCTCTCCTTTGGAACTAAAAGAGCAGGAGACAAGTGCTTAGAATACACACAGATATATATATATATATATACACACACAGGGCTGCACGTAAGTGGTTCACCAGTGCGCATTTGCTGTCAAAATAAAAGACGCACACCAGATAAGAAGTTGGAAGGCGCGTTTGAGTACATAAGATGTTCTGGAGGAGGACAGACATTTGTTCAGAAGATGTCGAAGAAGCAAGCTCCATAAGCAATTACTTTGGTGTTCCTCCACTTTAAAAGAAGGTCGTATTCCCAGAAATTCCGAGAAATTCTGAGAAGTACTGAACAAATGTCTGTCCTCCTCCAGAACATCTTATGTACGCAAACGTGCGTTCCAACTTCTTATCTGGTGTGCGTCTTTTATTTTGACAGCAAATGGGCACTGGTGGACCACTTATATGCAGCCCTGTGTATGTATGCATATATATATATATATATACACACACGTGGTGCCTGTTACCTTTGGATGCGACCATCACCACAATAGGGTGCCCCAAGTTGATGCACCAAAGGTGGAGATGGCTCACTCTCACTTTGCCTGGAGATTGTTTGGACCTGGTAAGTATACGTAGCATGTGGTATCACATCCCTGCACAAAGAGTGAGAAAAAACACAGTAAGTTCATATGTCTGGACAATACAAAGAAATACCACATGCAAAGAAAGTAAAAGTAAAAGACTGCATACGAGAAACCTTCATAAGACCAGGTCGGTGGAGATCAAGTTGTTAGAATTGTTGCTAAGTCAACTGGTGAGTTTGTGTGTCTCTTTATTCAACTAGTAAACTTCTAAGTTTGTACTTTCACATATCTGTCTTTCCGATCGACTGATACGTCTGCTTTTACCCACTGCATGTCCAGCTTTGTTGTGTTTCCTTATCACAGCGATTCAAGGAACCATTGTGACGAAATACGGGAGAAATAATGGAGGCTTACTCACTTTGATTGTCTAAGTCACCATAATGGTTTTTTGAGGCACCATGATAAGGATTTCTGAAACAAAAAAGTCTGAAAGGAAAATATATAAATAAGAAAATCAAAGCCATAAACAAAAAAATAATCAAAGCTATGAATGAGAAACCAAAACCACTAGACAAGCAATTAATCCCAGGGAAAGAAAACAAGTAAATAATAAAAATGTAAGTGAGGGTGCTTTTTGGAAGTAAGTATTGCAAAATGTTTATTTATTCTCTCTGGTTTGTTTGCCTTTACGTTGTACCTCTATCATAATCAGATTGCCTCTTCTAACTACTGGTCCCTGTAATCAGTGGAATTACTTTCTTTAAAAACTGAGGCAACTGTGTTATTTTATGACTCATTACAATTTAACAAAGAACAAGAGTAAAAATAAGTAAAGGCAACGAAAGAAAGTTCTGGAAACATGCAATAAAAACAAAATAATTGAATCACAAAGCACCTTCATTTACATCTGTATTGTTTAAGTTTTTTTTTCCTGTTTTGATACTTTTTTTGGTATTATTTTGGTTTCTCATTTCTAGTTTTGATTTGCATTTGTTATGGTACGGCTTCTCATTCATCATTCTTAGGCTTTCATGGTTTTGGGGGGTGGATAGTGATCATGGCATAAGATTTGGGAACTTAAATATAAGTCTTTGTCAAATTTTGTCTATATTCATATATTCAGAGTATTAGAATCTTTTGATTTTGAGTCCGTTATTGTTTAAACAGTATAAATACCATGATTCTTTCAATAAAATATGTACATGCAACCACAGTCATGAGGAAGACTGCTGACAGTTGTCCAGATGATAATCATCCATACCCTCCATGAGGTGGGTAAACCACATCTGAAAAGACTGTCTGTTCATAGAGTTTACTCACAGAGTCAATCGGATGTTTCGACGCATGTTAATGGAAAGTTGACTGGAAGGGAATGTGTGGTAGGAAAAGGTGCAAAAGCAACACGGGTGACTGTAGCCTTGAGAGGATTGTCAAAAAAAGTCAATTGAAGAACTTGTGAGATGTTCACAAGGAGAAGATTCAAGAAAGGAGCTACAACTGTTATACTGTAGCTAACCGAGACAATGTTAGAAACGTCTTACCTGGAGAAAAACTTCTAGACTGTTGCTCAGTTTGTAGAAATATTTAAATACAGAGAATGTGCTAAATGTGCTACACAGTGACGGTGTTCAAAACAACGTGTGTTTAGTCCTTAACAAGACACGCAGATGTGTTAAAAATTAACACATGATGTGTTATTTCTAAAACATCTGTCTTGAGCGTGCGAGCTGGATTGTCGAGCCAACTCCCCTGATCTGAACCCCATAGAGAATGTATGGGATGCTGTCGAGTGGAAGATGAGAAACACCTGACATAAAAATACAGACAAGGTGAAGGTCGCAATCAAAGCAACCTGGGCTTCAATAACTCCTCAGCAGGGCCACAGGCTGATTGCCTCAGTGCCACACTGCGCTGAAATTACTCAAAAATATGCAAGTATTTGTGTGAAAGGAGCCACAGACTTATGTATTGAGTATATAAATGAACATACCTTACAAACGCTGGACATTTCTGTATTGCATCTTTTGATTGATCTTAGGAAAGATCGTTATTATTTGAGATACTGGATTTCTGATTTGCAGGCGTTATAAAAAAATCACTTTACATTTAAAGAATACAACTTTTGAATATATCTTTTTAAGACGTTGTAGTATAATCAAACAGCGCAACAGTTAATGTGCAGTAGCGCATGTTCATGTCTTTCAGTTCTTAAAGTAAAGGGACTGCTTGAATGCTGTATGCATGCAGCCTTTTTTTTGGTATATCTGTTAAAAACGGCATCTATGAATGGGATTAAGTAGAACCAATAGTTTAGCCATGGATTATTTCACATGGACCATAAATATGGCTATTACAGAAAGCACCTCGCATACAGCCCATAGAATTACATAGCAATGAGAGACGCATACACACAGGCTTTAATTAAAACACGCACAGGCATATCACACTATTCCCAAAGCTGCCATATATTCCAGAGTGTGAATGTAACGCATCAGCAGGATCAAGCACTAAACTTTCCCTGGTACCCCAAAGATTTAAACTAAAGAGTCAGATCATACTAAAGAAGGCTTTGAATGAGGTTCAGGAAAGCCTTTGCCTTTTCTGAGCACTTTTTTTTTATTTACTACTGAATGAGAACACGTAAATGTTTTCAATTAGAGGCTTAGGGTAAAACATGTAATCTCTTCTTCACTTTTCCATGTTTGTTCATGGCATTCCCAACAGAAAGACCTAGACCAAGTGCAAGTTCGCCGTGAAGTACGAAATATAAAAAGTGACAAGCCTAAAGATCAAGTAACAAAATGAATTCTCTTACAGCAAAGTTCGTGCCTGAGATTAGTTATTTATGTTGGCTTTATTATTATCAACACAGAACGTTTGGCCTGACAGACTCTCATCTGCACAACAGTATGCCCTGTTCCGCAATGTTGGTTCATACTGGTGCAACTCTAGGTTACACTCAAACATGTCCCTTCTAATTGAATTAGTTTAGCCTCTGGAAAAGTCAAGCTCTGGGAGACTTTATCTTTGAGCAAAGCAAACATGCAGAATAGACGGAAAGAAGAGAGAAACAGATGCCGCTTTGAAAGGAGGCACACAACTTTCCCTTTTGTGGATGGGCAGGTATTTGGGCCGCTCGGTTTCAGGCAATCCAATGCACTGAAAAGCACTAGCACTTACTGATTGGGCCACAATGGGAGGCCTGCTCATGCAAGAACAAGCAGAAAGGATGATTTTAATGACTGGATCTAATGAGGTAATCTAGTTCTCGTTAGGCTGATGGTCAGTCCTTCTAGCTTTTCACCGTCATCTCACAAATACAACTAAAAACAGTGCTGTAGTTTTCAATACATGGCTGTTTGAACAAACATGCTGTTTGATTTAGGGACTAAAATCAAGATAAAAACAGTGCTGCGTGCTTCTTTCTCTGACAGACAATTTTCACACATGAACTCAGGTAAATTTCTCAGGATAGGTCACACAACTGTCTTACATGTAGGGAGTGAGGTAAGATAAATACATTCCCCAGATTGTTACCACCAACATTCTTACCTGGGTGCAATTAGACTGTGTACTATCAGGTTAAAAACCATCTCACGATTCGATTATATCAGGCATTTGGGTTCTCGCATGCACGATGATGTGATTGCTGGGAAAAGCGTGTAAAAAATGGCTCACGACTCCGGGGAATCATGTTCTTCTTTCAGTAGCAAAGTTGGAGCGGCGGTTTACAGCCATGCTGGGATTAAAAGGCTTAGAAAGGAAGCTGAGGTGAGTGACTAAGCCAAAGACTGTGGTTATGTCCGGCGCCTAGGTCTATACAGGCAAAGAACTGCAAACTCGTTACCCGTGTCAATACTGTAGCAGTCAATTGCAAACATTTTATTTAAGCGTGCCCCATGACTTTCTTATTTAAAAAGCAATAAACAGATTATAAGCTCATGTCGACTGAGCCATATATCATCCTCAGTTAATTTCTGAGAAAACACCACGAGATCAGATCCCCCTCGTGTCATACATCACAGTCAGCTTGGGGCACAAAGGCAGTTTCCTCAGGACCTGCAAAACTCCATCGTGGGGTCCTTTGTCCTTTCGCACAACATTTTTTTCTCCTCTTGTCACTGATATAATGATACAACACAGCTTCGGGGAAGCGGGTGAAATAGCTGCGATATTTAATCTACTGATTTGTGTTCACGGTTATTAATTTTCCCATTTTCTTGTTGAATTAATTAATGTGAAGTTTAATCAATGAATTTGCGTTCACTGACAAAGTAGCCAGACTTTCTTCTCATCATGTTTTTGTGGGGATTTTTGTTTGTTTTGGGGTTTTTTTTTTTACTGATCTTGAGCATGGGTTTCGGAAAGTCTTTCAAAATTTTGTTTGAACACTGAATGCTTTCTTACTGAATTATTTTTAGTCCAATCCATGTGCCTGACCATTTTCAGAGCCACTTAATGCCGAACTTTGAATGATTCAGGCATAAAAAAGGCACCAGTTTAAATGTGGTCATATGTTAGTAAAGCCACTGGCAGCAGAGAAAAATGAACAAATAGCATAGAGATTTTTAATTTGTTTGTTTGTTTGCTACCTCAAAAGCACATAGTGATGTTGTGGACGAATTTATAACAGCCACACCTATAGGTTTCAAACAATTTAGTATCAGAATTCCTATCCAGTATTCATAAAAACACACTTATCTGTAACTAATTATAGCTATGTAAAATATCTGCTGTATAACTCATAGCTCAAAGGACCTTACTACAGTCACTGTCAACGTGTCACATGATAAGATTTCATCATTAGTGCTTTTTTGTTCTTCTCAAAACCCCAGAATAATTTTTTTTTTCATAGTGGCTCTCTTGTGAAGTCTTGAACAAAGCCCTGTAATATGCATTTCAAAGGTATTCAAAACCACACAGAGCCATGAGTTAACATACGTGAAAGCTACTAACAGCAAGAAGTTTGCCGGTGTGTGCCTGTGCTCGTCTGTGTTCTCCAGCCTTTACTGATATGTGGACACTTATGTGCAGATGCATTTCCATTCTGTAGCTCCTTGTTGTTCTTGGCGGAAAGACTCCAGATGAGAAAAACAGATAAATGTATGGAAGTTGAGAAAAAAAACAACTTAATTTGAACCTGCAAGATCACCAAACAAAGCCTTACTTTTCAGGACTGTTAATTATACACCTACACTAACCTGTGCTATATGTATAGAGCTAAAATAAATTATTCAAACAGGACAGGAAATCATTTTTATGGCAATCGTATGCCTTTTTAGAAGTCCTCTGGGTTGCGCGGGTCTGTAGTTTCTATTTCCTTTTGCCTAAACAGCTGCATTTGCCTGATGAAAAATGATCAAATAAACTAAACAAGGACAGAGAAATGTCCTGGCTCTTCCTGAACCTTTAACCCTTAGCTGATTAATGACTTCTACCAGTTACAAGCCAGACTTTACCAGATTAAAAACAACTAAAAACACATCTTTTTAGAATTGCATTTTGTTAACTTTTGTCTGTTTTGGGGCGATCGTGGCTCAAGAGTTGGGAGTTCGCCTTGTAATCGGAAGGTTGTCGGTTCGAGCCCCGGCTTGGACAGTCTCGGTCGTTGTGTCCTTGGGCAAGACACTTCACCCGTTGCCTACTGGTGGTGGTCAGAGGGCCTGGTGGCGCCAGTGTCCGGCAGCCTCGCCTCTGTCAGTGCGCCCCAGGGTGGCTGTGGCTACAATGTAGCTTGCCATCACCAGTGTGTGAATGGGTGGATGACTGAATGTGTAGAGCGCTTTGGGGTCCTTAGGGACTAGTAAAGCGCTATATAAATACAGGCCATTTACCATTTTGTTTTATACCTTGTGAAGCACTTTGTGATCTTTTATCTAGAAATGTGCTATATAAATAAAATTTTACTTTACTTAGTTACTTTACCAGATTACTAACGGTTTGCTATGGATTATGTTTTTTATGTTTGTAATGAAGAGGCGATCGAAGAGAGTAAAGTAATAATCGCTGTAGCTGCTGTCGAAGGATTTCCGACTAATCAGTGATTTTTACTGCTTGTTATGAGAAAAAATAATCCCCTAACTCTATTAACAAAATAAATTAATGTGTTGACAATAAAGTGATATAGAAACATTGCCTACTTTTTCAAATAGCTGTGTGAACTGAGTGTGAACATTAGATTGACTTAAAGGAAAGAACTGCTGTTCCCCCCATTTGACCAGAACTATATATAAAGTCCTCGGTTTAAGATCTAACTTGCTTTCAGAATTAGCCAAAAAGAGTGCCACACAATAGTTAAACAAGCAAATCTAGACTTGAGTAGCTAAAGGGATAAATGTGGCAGATAATATGCAGAACTGTACAGAACCAGAGTTAAATTGCAAAGGGGGCAGTAGCAGCACTGCTACTGGACGACCTCCTTTGAGGAGGAGTGGAACCATCTTCTGCTACCTTCTTTCCTTACACTTGCTTGACCTCCTAATACTGTCCCTCTTTGCCCTCCAATCATGGCCATAAGTTACCCCTCAAGTAGTCCTAACTCCCACTTTGCATCTCGTTACTTTGACCAAACAATCCATCATACATGGGTTGATACTTAGGAGGTATGTTCTCTGGCATCTCCTTTGCTCAGTTTGCCTCAACTAATCTGAAGGCCAGTAAGCCTGAAAGTGGAGGGTCAATCATCCGTGTCTGTCAAACCCACTGAAACATACTGCAAGACGATGCAACTGTCTGTGTGGTCAAGAAAAGCATTTCAGCAAATCGACTCAGGTAGTCAAACGGAGCACTTTACGCTGGATTTGTGGCGGACAAAAACATCTGGGTGACCTTCACAATGTCAGAGGTTATGTTTGTTTCGTTATGCTTCGTGACGAGCCAATGGGCCTGCATCAGTATTCCGAACGGCGTGTCTAATTTAATGTTTATGCCCTGATCAGTAAAAGAAAGTGAAAACATTATGCCCCTTCATTCTGCCTTTTGGAGGTTGTACAGTATGTTTTTATTTTGTTTGTTTTGTTCCACAGTGTTTCCAAATAAATTGTCCTAAAAGACACACTATTCTTCTTCAGTTGGATGAGCTACAGACTTTTATGGCTAAAACACACATACTTACTTGCTAGATCTTCGCTGACCATTTAACAGAAACAAGATCGCACATGCTCTCACAACAGAAAACAGACAGCCATCGCAACTGACCACCACCACTGGAATGCAACCACAGCTAGTGAAATACACCACAGCAGTAAAACTACCTACAGTACATCAATAATAACTGAAGTGTGCCAAAACCTCAAAATAAATACATTCCTACTGTAGGCAACCTTCCACGGATACTCACACTATACTGGGAAGTTATGTACAGGCACTTTATGGAAGTTAGATATCATCACTGCATCCTGCATAATGTGCGTGCTCACTGTTCTGCCTCTTATCAAGCACTATCCTTCTCATGGGAACCAGACTGACAGCATGATAGTGGGATAGCACAACACACAGCTCTGTCATGTATAGCAACATGTTTTTTTCCTGTGTCAGCACATTCCATAAAAGCAAAGCATTAAATTCTCACCACAGTGTGCAGATAATACCTTCAACAGGCCGTCTATTTGCCCTTTCATGGAATATGGGGGGGGAAGCAAATGTGGGCAATAACTGACCTATGACTTAAAGGAAACAAATGTTGGGCAACAGATTTGAAACTGCAGAACAAGAGGCGGCTTGCTTATGTTCCTGGGGGCATTAAAAAGGATATCTGGTATTACGAGAACATAGCTAAGTGAATAGTTTCCACAGATAAAAAAAAAACAAAACACTTTTTACTGGCATGCCCTGAAAAAACTCCTAATTACATCACACTAAAGAAGGAAGGTATACAGTGACTGCTCAGCAAGTCTCCATTTTTTCTCATAAACAACCGTTTGCAGAAATATTTTTCAGGCTGCTGCAAACTTATTGTACAAGCAGTTTTTTTGCATTGTTTTGTTTGTCTTTCTGCCCACCTGCCAGCAAGCTTGCACAAAACATATGACAAGCTGAAATACATAAAACCTGGTGGACTATGAACAAAAATGGGCAATCTGATGAGTAAAGTAAGGGATTACTATTGCAAAAACGGTAATTAGATTACCGTTACTTCCCGTAGGAACGCTGCGTTACTGCGTTACTAAAACCGTGATTTTTTGCAATAATGTCTCATGACAGTGACGTAAGCAAGTGCGACGTTCTATATCGAGTGCAGGAGAGAGTATGAGCGTGCAGCGTTTAAAGCCTGGAAGTACTGACCTTACTTTAAGTTTGACTCCATAAAAAGTGACAAAAACATTAGCGTCCTTTGTGTGTGGGAAGAAAACTTCTTGTTATAGCAAAAAAAAACAACCCTAAACTTCCAAGCAAGCACCGAGCGGGCTATGACAGAGAAACTCGCGGATTCTTCAACTGACCGCGGCACACCTGCACCAGCGTAAACCTCCGCCTACCCCACTCCTGCTTTACAGGTGAAAATAGAGCAACAGGACCGCTAGTCTTTGACTTTAATTATTTTCTGCTGTGTTTTACTTGCATGTAATTGAAAGAGTGAGTGTAAACACAAAAATTTTTTTTTGCTTGATGCATGAAGTTAAAAGATTACAACTAATAAAACAAGTTTTAAAAAGGGACTTTTCCTCAATTTACAACCTCTTCAGGTTGTAAATTGTATTTTTAAAAAGTAACTAAGTAACTAAGTAATTAATTACTTTTGAAAATAAGTAATCAGTAAAGTAACGGGATTACTTTTTTGGGGAAGTAATCAGTAATTAGTTACTGATTACTTTTTTTTAAGTAACTTGACCAACACTGACTATGAACAGGCCAAGTCAGAAATATTTCACTCAGAAATCTTTGTGTGATCCTGACAGGCTTTGAGTGGCGATTTACGTGGAGGTTTGGGCACTCATAGAAAAATATTCACCTACCAGGTCACTCACCTATCTGTATATCGGTGGGTAGGTTCATTCAGCAGCAGACCGTTGGGGGCATGTGTGAAGGGTGGCTGACGCAACAGGCGGTAGCGTAAAGGCTGGCAATGGTTGCAGAGTTTATAGTCTGGCTTGGATGTCAAGAGAGTGGCGTCGATCTCCAGATGATGCTCCATAGTGTAGAACTGTACCCCATACACCTCTTCCTCAATGTCCAGCTTCATAGTGAGCGGGGTATCACAGAAAACATTGCTGGGACCCAGTGAAATGTTGTTTCCACTGACGGTCAGCAGCAAGATGTTATGGATCGCAGGCAGCGCTGTTTCCTCGCGGCTAAGAAATGTAACCCACACAGTCAAGGAGTCAGGTACCAGTGGGTAGGCGAACTCTAGCTGAAGCATGCAGCCCTGTAAAGGGCACTCTGGCAGGCCAACGATGTCTTGCTCGGTTGCTGAATGAGGGCTCCAGGTACGCACACTTGGTTCACAAGCCTGCTCCACATCAGGAGGGCCTATGGGATGAAATTACAAAGCAGTCACACACACACACACACGTAGGCAACACAAAAACTTTAAATAATTCACAAGCTTATGTTGACCATTTTAGATACAGCTATGGGTGATTATTAAACACTCATGCAGACACATAATGATGAATTCAAATACACTATTGTACAGAACTATTTTAAGATAACCAAACAGGTAAATTTAAACTAAATATTAAAAAAGATTGCTGACAGATTTTTATTTTTTATTTTTTTTAATCGCATCAACAATCTTTTTGGTGTATCTGCAGTGCTTGCAACATCAAGGCTGAGGTGAAACTGAGAGTTCATTGTGAGTCCATCTGCAGAGGAAAGGCAGAGCTGAGGTGTGTACCTTCTGAGAGGGGCCCTGTGCAGGGTTCTCACTTCAGCGCAGTCATTACAACCTCTAACAGTCACACTCCAGCCATATTTGGAGTCCACACACAGCTAACTTGGATTATCCCAAGTGACGTACACTAACATTCATCAAGCACTTTTAGAAGCCAGCAAGCGGCAGACACTATGTTCTCCCTCAATTTCCTTTTGTGCATTTCCAAGCTGGCAACCAAAGAAGCCATTTGCTAACCTCATTTCTGGGCACCATGCAAAATTCCAGTGTTTAATCAAGTGAAGACTGAATATGGTTTCCAAGCCACATTATCTCAACACATTTATTATTGTACTGTAAGTGTGTGTGTGTGGCCAGTGTGGAGGTGAATTAAAGAAAAGAGAAAGAGAGTAAGAAATAGAGAAGAGAGGGAGAAAAGCGGGAGGCTGGAAGAGAATGAACTAAGGTACTCCAAGAGGTTGGCTTTGCTCGGCTCATGTAATCCCGGCTTTCTGGGTAAATTTTCATTGAGTTTGCAAGGAAAGGAGCTGTAGCCACTGAAAATATTTTGTAATGTCAGCTGTTATGGTGGGCCCCACTCCTGCTCTGGCACAGGAATTATGTGGTTGAAGATTTAAGAGGAGAAAGAGTAGAGGTGCCATTGTGTAACCCAAGGCAGTATAAACTGTTTTTTGTTTTGTTTTTAAAGTTGATTGGCAGTACCCTTGTTTGTTTTGGGGTTTTAAAAATGAATTTAATGTAGCTTTATATGCAAATGACGTTTCCACATTCAAATTTTACACATTCCCAAGAAATTGGTGCCATTTGGATTCTTGTAACAAGGTTTTGTTTTGGGTAAAATGGGTTAGTGCTTGTTATTTTTTGTTTTCGCTGCAGTTTTTGTTCCCCTTCTGTTAAAAATTTGAATTTGTCACATCCCTTTTTACAACCCCAACTCTGAAAGAAGGAATGGGATAATTTGCAAGAAAATTTGTGTAAAAAATATTTGTGCTATTCACAGTAGTAGATACAAAACATGTCAAATGTTTAGACAGAAAAATACCACCACCCCTCATTATGAATTTAACAGCAGCAGCACATCGCAAATAAGTAGAGACAGTGTTTACCACCATTTCTTTTATTTAACAGGAGCGCATAAACATGTGGGAGCTGGGGAGACTTTTAGGAGACAAATGTTGTTCTTGGCTGTTCTTGTCTCAGTCCTGGGTCATTTTTATCATATTTTGTTTGGTGACACATTGGTTTAGCATTGTCTTGCTGAAAGAAGTCGTGATCTGAATGACAACATTTTTTACGAAACCTATATATACCTTTCAGCACTGATGGGGCCTTTCCATATGTCCAAAGTCACTAAATACAAGCTCATACCTTCAGAGATGGTGGCTTTTGAACTGAGCAGTGGTAACAAGCGAGATGGTCTCTCAACTCTTCAGTCAAATTTCAATTTGTTTGACCACAAAACAATTTTCCACTTTGACCCAGAGAAGAAAGTAGCATTTCTGGATCATGTTCACACATGGCGTCTTCTTTGCATCATAGTGCTTTAATCCCAGTTCCAGTTAGCACAGCAAACTGTGTTCACAGATAAGGATTTGTGGAACTGTTCCTGAGCGATTCTGTGACTTCAATGATAGAATCATGTCTGTTTTTTAATGCAGTCCTGCTTATTGCCACCAGGCCTGGGGGCATCCAATATTTGATTTCCAGTCTTGTCCAAAGGCGTACTAAGATTTCTCCAGATTATCAAGTTTTTATTATGAGATGTACTCTAGATGATGAGCTATCCATAGACTTCACAGTTTAAATTGAGGATTATTATTTTGAAATTGTCATATAATTTGTAACTGCAGTTTTTGTGCAGATTAGTGAACCTCTGCTCATCTTCACCTCTAAGAAGCTCTGGCATTCTAACATGCTCTTATTATACCCAATAATGTCACTGAGGTGTTGCCAATTAACCTAATTTGCTGCAAAATGTTCCTCCAGCTGTTTCTTTTTAGTGCCACTTACTTTTCCAATCTTTTGTTACCCCATCATCAAATTAAAAATGAGCTTTGAAAATTGCTGCATTCTGTTTTTATTTACATTTTACACAAAATTGCTGCATTCTGTTTTTATTTACATTTTACACAAAGTCCCAGCTTCTTGAGATTTGGGGTGATGGAAGTTCCCTGATTGTTCTCATTAAGAAATGACTCATGAAGTAGCATACTTTCAGTTGAAATGCAAGGCCTTCCCCGAAAAAGACATGTGGATGTGAGCATATGCTGCTCTAAAAGCTGTTTACTGTGTGCAGAACTGATGAACTGATGATTATAACTTTGGCATAGGTATGAATGTCTGTTGTCTCTGGCAGAACCTTGTCTTTGACCCAATGGCAGCTGGCAGCCAAATATGTTTCAGTAATTGTTGAGCTAGGTTAAACTTTTTTTGCTGGACAACCCTGCATATTTCCTCCATTTGTGTTACTCCAATACTTCTTTTTTTGTTGTTGTCTGGTTGATATGAGGAGAGATTTATATTTTTTACCAAATGTATTTTTTGTTTCTTTCTGCTAATCAAGCAAATCCTTCGTTTGGAGGTTTATGCTTAACTTTAAGACTATTACACTCTGTGAGGCTTGCTTGCACTCCATACTGTACAGTAATGCCACTGTTTTGCACATGTCTCAACTCTGTATATTTTTATATATTTTATTTATTGTTTACTCTATTTAATTTGTAAAATATGTGTACACACACACACACACGTAGAAAAATATTTAGTATACACATCCAGAAATGCATATACTATTATATATTGTACATATATTTATTAGTTTCAGATGTAGCCATTCTTGTATTTTGCTTGTTTACATTATTGTATTTTGCACAACTCTGTTGCTTGTGAAGCTCGCACACAAGAATTTCACTCACATGTGCTGTACCAATGTACCTGCACATGTGATGTGACAATAAAAGTGATTTGATTTGATTTGATTTTTTGCCACATTTAAACTTTATTTAATAACTGTCTGTTAAATGCATCCTAAAGGCTCCTCGTCAACAAAAATGGAATTCCTGACTCGGCAATGACACTGGCCAGAAAACTGCGGCTGAAACATTTTGCTCTTTTCAAGTCAGGACAATTAATACTGGCTGTAATCGGTGAAGTACAACTCTAGGATAGATGTTGGTTACAATCATACTGATCCAGAAAAAGTCCATAGAGCTGGATGAATAAACAGACAGGGATATGTCCGGGCATGCACACTTTATGCTTTCTAAGAAGTGTCTGGCTCTGGCTTTCACTATCGATGACTCACTGTCACACTGCTACACACTTCCTCACTTAGAAGGCAGACGTCAACCCCCCTCCCCCCCTCCAATGCTTTTGCCCTGACACATACAAACAGAGAGACACTTTGCAGACACACAGACTCACTTATACAGGCAATGGGCACTCTTGTCTTGAAAATATATATCAAATCAGGTAGCATTTACAAGCCTTTTTTTAAATTTTAAGTTATTTTGGTGCACAGTGAAGGAGCTAACTACTATAACTCAAATAGTTTACCATAAGAAAATGTTACAAAATTTACAAGGGACTTTATGCTCTCTGTACACTAAAGTCACTGTAAATTTGGGGTGAATGTGTTAGAATTAAATAGATTTTTTTAGCTGAAGCAGCAAATGTGTCCTTTGATTGTGACAGAATGACCAATGTGCTGTGTTTGATCCTGGCAGGATGGATGACAATAATCTCATCCTTTGATATATTGTTTTGTGCTCTGTAGTGTCAATTTGACAGCAGTAATAAAAGACAAGTGATAAATTACATGTGTAGAAGCTATCAAAGTGTCAAGAAAGACTACCAATATCATCAGCTCTGTTCACTTCATTCCTCTCGTTTAATTCCCAATGAATCCATCCATTTATCAAACCATCCATTTCAGATGTACTTATTCCATCCAACTGTTTTCTTCCATTTATCTAAATCAGGGGTGCTGGAGGGGCTGGAGCCTCTCCCGGGTGCCATAAGGCAGGATAAGGGGTCCTGAACAGGCCGCCAGTCTGTCACAGGGCTAACACAAAGAGACAGACAACCATTCATGCTCTCATTCACACCTAAAATTTAGCATCTCAAATTAACCTAATGAGCGTGTATATAGAGTGTGGGAGGAAGCCAAAGTACCCAGAGAGACACCAAACGGGCACAGGGAGATCATGCAAACTCCACGACAAAAGGCCCGACACTTGGCCGGTGGACTCAGGCCCAGGACCTTCTTGCTGTGAGGTGGCAGTGCTAATCACCATTCTGCTTGCTGTTTTTCTTTGTTCGTTTGTTTGTTTGTTTGTTTGTTTGTTGTATTGTTGTTTGAGCCTAATGCAAAATAGCAGTCTATGCTTATACTGTCAGGCAGACAAATCTTTAAAAACTCTTTTAGTGAGGTGTCTGCAATCTCTGATTTTTCACAGATGCTTGCTGTTTAGTTTAAAGGATTAAATCCATAGATATTTAGAGAAAATAATGTTTGTGCTACAGATTGCAAGTGAAACACTGCAAAGTAAAGCAAAATACAGTTGTCAAACATACACATCCTGAACCTTTTCGCTTGCATCATGCAGTACTGTTTTCAATCAGTCCTCCTTCACTCATGTCACCAACCACATGCAATTCTCTTAACTATCTTGGGTGGTTTCGATCCCACCCAATCTCTCTTACCCACTCCTGGAATCCATATCCATGTGTTTTTGCCTTCCCCCCCCCATTATTGCTTTTTTACTTCAGCCAAATTTCTCCAGGGCTTAGAGTAGTAAAGATTTATGAGAAGCATTCTGGCTCACCCTGGCCATGCTAGTGTTTCCCAGTCAAGTAGTATAAGGAGGAAGACATTGAAGAACAGGTGCCATGTATGTTTGCATTCACGTCAATGCGCCCATCTTCCAAAACAGGAATTTTTGCCAGTAGTCTAACTATAATAATCTTAAAGCAAGTAATTTAATGTCTAGCATTCTAATGACAGAACATGACTACTGATCACATTTGCAACATTATAGAGGGACAGCAGCTGCAGTATTCTGTGTATCCAGTGAGAAGCTGGCCCGAGCAGAGTTAAGAGAGAACCAAACAAAGACCCTTTCCAAGAGGGGAAAAAACAGTTTAAACACACATCATATTAGACAAGCCCAGACTTGCCTCTGGTTCACACACTATAACCAGTGTAAAGGCAAGGTTCAGCAGCTGCTGTTCAGCATCCACACATACTGACACATGATTCAGAATTTTAATCATCTTTGATTAGGATTCATTTCTAGCCTTGTGTTGTGGTTTGACTGTTACCGCAGGTATGACTTTATTATTTATATTTATTGTCACTGATGTGTACGTGAATGTAAAAGTTGAATTTATTTATTTTTATATAAGAGTCTGCTGTATAAACACTCAGCAGGTGCTTTATAAGGTACACCCTATGGACCTAACAAAGGTACATGGGATGTACACATCCTATTGCTGCACCTGTTGGATTGAGATCTGGTGACTGTGGAGGTCATTTCAGTACACTGAACTCCTTGTGATGTTCAAGAAACCAGTTTGAGATGATTTGGTCTTTGTGACATTATGCACTGTCCTGTTGGAAGCAACCATCAGAAGATGGGTGCACTGTGGTCATAAAGGGATGGATATGGCCAGCAACAATATTTAGGTGAACTGTGGGATTTAAAAATTTTTTAGTTGTCCAATTTTGGTGAGCCTGTGCAAACTATAGTACATTCAATTTCCTGTTCTTACCTAATAAGCACAGCACCTACTAGTGTGGTTTTCTGCTGCTGTAGCCCATCTGCTTCAAGGTTTGACATGTTATGCATTCCAGAGACGCTTCTCTGCATACCTTCTTTGTATTATGTGGTTTTCTGAGGGGCTGTTGCCTTCCTATCTGCTCAAAGGACTTTGACCTCTGCCATTTTTGTTACTCACTGGTTATTTTCATTTTTTCAGCTCATTCTGTGTAAACCCTAGAAGTGGCTGTGCAGGAAAATCCAAGTAGATCAGCAGTTTCTAAATTTCCTTTTTTTTTTAATGAAGGATTATATAATTTATGCATAGTTATTTCATGAATATGTGCATTCCTATCATTTTGTAGGTTAGGAGTTAAGCTCATATTTAAATAACTCTGCTTAAATAAACGTTTGTTGTAAAATGTAAATCCTAGTAATTCTATATATTCGATCACATCAATAAAATTTTTGTGAAATTAAATTTAAAATAGAATTTGAAAAAATTCAGTATTAAACAGTGCTTATAGTGCTTCATATGAGAGATAAATAAACATATATTCAATTTAAACTAAAACAAAGCACAGTAGAGACAAGTATAGATCCAAAGAAAACCTGTCCAAAACAATCAAAACCTTGCCAGCCTCTTAAAATGTAAGGCCTAATAATGACTGGATAATAGATCTCGGTCACAGAAGCTGTTATGGATTCTGGGCTGGTTCTGCACAACCTTATTAGTAATTATGGTTTTTCCCAGTTGCTAAGATCCTTTTTTCTGAAACCGTCCCCTCTTTTCTGAAAACTGTAAACACAAAACCCAATTTTCAAACAACATTAACAAAACCTCTGACTCTACTGGCAAAAACCAAACAATCACATCAAAACAATTTTATCTGTGCCCAAAACCGCACAAAGTTTTCAGACAACAGAAAAGTCAAAAAAATAATAACACTACAGAGCATTCCTTAAACACTACAGCAAAAACAAAAAGATGAGACATTTTTTGTGAGTAAATTATAGGCATGTAAATCTCATACTATACGTTTCAGGCTGTCCATTGTATGTACACAAACATGGTCATTCCCAATTGCCAAGTTTTCATCTGAAATTGTTGTTCTCGATCTCCCATTTCCTCCTTTGCGCCTCACATTGTTTCGATTTATTGTTGGTATCAACCGTCAGCTCATTCTTGCTGGCTGCGCACTCTGTGCTGGCATTTGTTGGTTAACATCAGCAACAAGCCATTGTGTTTAAGAAGTGACATCTGTTTTGCAGTTGTGTTTAACATCTGCCTCCTGTAGTTAGGATTATACATCACAAGTGAATAACTGTTCGAAATGTGTTTTAGTGAGTGTGAATATGTTTAGAGATTTGCAATGAGAGCGAATGAGATCCTGCAAATTGCGCTTAACTAAGCGAAAACTAATTAAGCCAAACAGTCCAAATTGGTAAATGGACTGTGCTCACATAGCGCTTTTCTACTTTGAGCATTTAAAGCACTTTCTTACAAGAAGGCTCATTCACCTATCAACACACACACACACTTTTTTCTGTGCCCAACCAGTTTTAACCAAATGTTCACACACTCACACTTTGATGCATTGCAGGCAACTCGAGGTTCAGTATCTTGCCCAAGAGTGCTTTGACAACCAGACTAAAGGGGCCATGTTTTTATTCTATTCTGTTTTGTGTAGACAAGTTGGCAAAATATAACTTTCGAAGATAAAGTCAATAACACTACAAAACATTATTATTACTATTATTATTACTATAGTTATTTTTAGGGGTGCTATGATGAAATTTAGAGATGCCTGAGCACCCATGAAAAGGTTTAAACGCCCTTGTGAGTGAGTCATTGCAACATCTTGATTTCTTTTCTTTTTCAGCCGTTCTGTAGTACATTTGCTGGAGCGCTCTTGCTCTTTGTTCTGTTGCATGACCCTGTTCCAGCCAAGCTTTAGCAATAAGACAGATGGCCTGACTCTAGAATACTTCATGGTCATGGTCAACTCAATAATTACAAGGCCCCCAAGTCCTTTGGCTGGACAAATCATCTCCCTTACACCGCCATGCTTCACAGCTGGTGTAAGGTGTTTGTTCTGATATTCTATGTTTGTTTTTTATTAAACGTGTTGCTCTGCTTTATGGCCAAATGCCTCCACTTTGGTCTCATCTGCCCAATGGACATTGTGCCTAAGAGTCTAATTGTGCTGTTGTGAGTTTTACACTTAAGATGCTAACTGAGGTCTGTGGATGTACCTCTTGGGTTTTATTCCAGTTTCCCTAATCATTACACTGTCTTCAACAAGCAGTTGATAAGGTGCACCTAACAAAGTGGTCGCTGAGTGTTTATATTATTTCAAATGTTTATTGCACTTTTAGCTGCACTTAGTTACATGCATGCATAATATCCAAAGTATGTTTGATGCTGCCACTGCCAGGACAACAGTGAGATCAGAGGTACACAGATGGGACAGCAACTATTTTTAAATCTTAAATACTTCATCTCTACTGCCTTATTTATGTCCCAGTCCAATTCCTCTTCTTTCAATTCAGCACCAGGGCAAGACTAGAAAAGGGAAAGACAAGGCTCCTCTCAGTAGAGCGTTAGCGCTAACATGTGATCTTTGACCTTGGTTTTGGGCCTGAACCTGCATATGGGAATTGTGGTACCATACAGCACCATCCATTGGGAAAGGACCTCCTTGATCCTTCCATGTTGTCCCACGGCCCAAGTGTTATGAATCCAGTGAGTCATTTGCATAGTTTAGGGTTGAGTCAGTCACCAAAGGTTTGTGCATGTTGGGGTACTGACTCACACAAATTAAACAAACAAACAAGCAACAAAAAGTTACCTCAAATTGTGTTATGGTACTGTAAACTGTGGATGTGGTGTGGTTTTTATATGAAAAATTGCTTTTAGAAGAAAGAGGTCAAAAAATCAAGAAAGTGACAGATGTCTGAATGACATCAAAGATGTGTTTCTTTGATGTAACAAAGATGTGTTACACTTCCACAGCAAAAGCCAGACTAGACTGGGAAAATTCAGTGTCAAAAAGAAGTCAAGTATAAAGTACTGTACTGTACCTTCAGCCTCTCGAGGGGACCAGTGACCAGATGGATCACATGGTCGTGGAGAAGACGAGTTTGATGCATACTGTAGTAGGACTCTCCCTTCAGTGCATTTGTCACACACTGATCCCACTTCTCTAGGAAACCAACAGGCAGTACAGCAACCAACTTAGATACATACCAAATACACGTCATTTATACGCAATAAACAAACACAAGAAGTGACAAGACAATTGTAACAATGTTAAGCTTATTAAGCCCTTTAGATTTGGACTCACTTTCAAGTACGTAACTGTGTAAACAAGATATTTAGTATTAAATTCCCATCACAATACATGGATGTATCAGAACTATAACATATCTAGTTCATCTCACCTGTCATAAAACTGTCCGGAAATTGGTGGAAACCATTCCAGGGTGATGGAATTATGATGCTGCTCAACCACCTGAGGAGCCATTGGCACCAGAGGAGGTTTGGAAGCAGGCTGCCAGGTCTGATAGATGAGGTCCAGGTAGCAGTGCATCCTAGCCACCTGGTTCATTGTGAAAGAGTCTGTACAAGCATCATCTGCAGAAAAAAGAGGTAGTTAATCAGTGTGAGGATACAATTTGAGATTGATCATCGTGCAGGTCCATTTTCTATGAATAGAACAAGCTACTTTAACAAGCTACAAGATAATTTATGAGCATTTTCCCTTTAAATAACTTTTTAAAATTCTTTAGCACATTATGAGTGCCATGAAAGATTCGCTAATGCTGAGATTCCCTAATACTTTTTACACACACTATGCACACAGACTCAAAAAGTTCTCTGGGACAATTTCTATACATTAGCTGTGACACACAAAAAGGGTAACTATAAAGTTTTCCTCTGGTAAGTAGCTCAACACATGCAGAGGCCCAGTCTCACCTGCATAACTCATGTAATTGTTAAACGGTGTATGCGTGAAATGACGGATGCCACAAGTATCATTGCCTGGTTCAGGATCGCTGCAGCCTTTGTATTTGGAAGTGGGTTTGGTGTCTGCACACAAGTCCCCAGTCTCCATTGAGGGCTCAGTCTCCAAGCACGCATCATTGCATGATTCAGTCTCGGACACACCTCGAAACACGTGGTAAAGGCCGAGGCTATGACCAATCTCATGGACCATTGTGTCAGTGTGACCAAATGTGCCGTAGAAGGAAGGATTCAGCACAATTCCACCTGGAAAAACACAGTGAAAGAAGTCACTCGCACTCAATCACACACCACACAAATGCCTTTTCCTAATGTAGTGTAAAGTAATTGTGGCACAGGGGTATGATTCAGACAATACATTATTCATGGGCCTCCTCAGCTTCATTATCACCTTCTTCCCTGTTAGAGCTGTGATGAAGACAGAAACTGCTTGGGGCTTGAACTGTAATTACTCCAAATCAACAATCTGGGCTGCCAAAGAAGTTGAAGGTGATGTGTGCCTGTACTTATGTAACTGCATGTGAGTTTGCATGCATGCATTTATTTATGCACTTTGTCTTTTACCCAAGTGTGTGAGGGCTTCTTTGTCCCAGGGCCATGTGGCAACCCCTGCCAGATCTTCATCAGAAGAATTGGCAAAGAAAACATTCAGGTGAGTTGAGCCATCCAACTGCAAAATCTCTTTGATCTCTTTCATATCCAAATAGGCTCTGTGGAAAAAACCCAAAACAACACAAACACAGTATTTCACATTAAGTTAATGGCTTAACAATTAAGACAGTCATTTCCAGATTTCACCAAGTCCAAAAAAAAAAAGAAAAGAAAAGAAAAAACACTGTTCCTAGCCAAAAGAGCTTATGCAGTGTCATCATTCACGAAACCAGAACTCAGATTTAGGTCCCTAATGAACTAAAATATTTATTTAATGTGCTGGCAGTTGCAAGGACCTTGAAACCAAAAGAATGAAGTTCCAAGAAGAATAAATGATCTTGTTGAAGCCAGCTAGTGTTTTAAACCATGTGTACAAATTAATAAGGACGTAATAAAATGCATCTTCTTCAGCTGGTTAGGGGTGAAGAATGTTTTCCTTCCTCCATCCAAAATGAATGTTGACTACAAACTATCTGGCACTGCCAACAAGTACTTACATAACAATAAAATTATGTTTTACTTTCTTTCACCAGCGACTGTACACCAGGAGAGGGTTGTGATGTTTTTAAATATAATTATATTATTATAATCACTGTAAATCAAGTTGCCATCAGTCTGATTTACACTGAACTAATTTCAGGCTTTAAGGCTCATTTACATTTTTGTGGTGGAAGGGAGAGTACAGACCATGTTGTTGACGTTATCATTTAGAAAGTACAATAAACCGTATAATAATCCCAAATGTGCATTTATTGACAGAGTTTGACTGGAACTACAGTGCATGCTAAGAGTCACTATGATGTTTTTCTTTTTGTGTGCATGACAGTGTTTTATGTTGAAGGATGAATCAAGTAATAGCCAGTTCTGAAATGGTTCTGGCACCTTATAATTTCAACATACAAGCCACATATACTTTACTGCTGAAAGTCAAATTAGACACTTGATATTGTTTCAGTTCTTTGAGGTTTGTGGACATTTGTTTACTCACAGCTCTACTAAGATCCCGCCACAACATTTCTGTTGGGTTGAAGTCTAGACTTTAACTGGGTCTTTGCAACAGCTTCTTGAGATTATTGTCCCATAATTTCCGAATTCAGCCAAACTTGATGCTTTAGACACATGACCTTAAAAGGGTCTGACTGAGTTAATGGCTGCAAGGTCCCGTGACTGCAAAACAAGCCTAAATTATTACCCCTCCACCACCGTGCTTGACAATTGGTGCGAGTTGTTTGTGCTGATATGTTCTGTTTATTTTTTGTGGCACTTTGCCTAATGGCCAAAACATTTCCACTTTGGATTCATCTGTCTTGTGGGTTGATGAAACTTGGCAAACTTAAGCTGTGCTATCTCATTCCTTTTGTAGAGAAGAGGTTTTCCTGTGTCGACCCTTCCAACCAAGCCATACTTGTTAAGCCTTTCTATCAGGAAGGTTTTACCATGTTAACTGAGGCCTGTAGAGTCTGAGATGTAGCTCTTGTTTTCTTTTTTTTGTATTTTGTCTTGTTTGTGGGACTTCTTGACTCTTCCTGAGATGTGATAGCCCAGGCCACCAGACCTCCAAAACTCCTGTTTTTATTATTTGATTAGTAGCAATTGGCTTCTACCCTTTTAGTTCTTACAGAATCTGGTGGGTGTGCTTGGTTTTTCAAAAAACTACTGAGTCCTGGGAAAACTTTTTTCCTTTTTTTCCCCACATGATTGTACTCCAAAGTTGTAAATATATGTATATTGTGATAAATATTTGAAATATGAAAGCCTTTTTCTTTGAATGTCTATAAATACCAACATTTTTATACAATGCATGAGAAAATTTTACTCTACCCTTTTGTATTAAGAAAAAATATTATAATTTATATGATGGATTCTTAGCATGCTCATAGAATGAAATAATGTCCTACAACAAGATGTTCTATTCACTGCATCATGAGTTTTCTACCGAGAATCTGAGACCAGTCTGACTCATTTATGTCAGCCTGACATTTGAATTAATTGTTTAGGTATTCCGATGTCTCCCTTCTCAAGGCATAATCTTCTGTCTCAGGCTCTGTGAGCATTAACGGCAGTACAAATGAGTGCAATCACTCAACACAATGAGATATCTTTCCAGCAGTGAAACTGTCATTCATTTTATGAACACGTCAAGCACAGTTTTCTCTATGAGCCTGGCTGGTGGTCCTGGCAAAAAGCATCAACAAGCTCAGTCATCTCTTGGAAGAGTCAGTAATTTGTTGCATATGCTGAAATGATAGTTTATTCTTTCCCTTTGGCTTAGGGAGACTTTTGAAATAGATATTCAGTGGATGTATAAACAAGAGTTTATCAGAAACAAAACAAGACCCAAGTCATACTATGGCAAATTAGGTCTGTAGATGTTTTGACCCATTTTGTGTGACCCTTTTGCCTGCCTTTTATTTTGTGCTCACATTTTGCATGTCCTCATAAGATTAAGTGAACTGAGGCTAAACCTGACTCTCCTCCAGTAAATAAAAATAAATTGATTTCATTCACTGTTCTTCTTCTGTGGTCACTTGTAGAGGGCAAAAGGCAAAATGCACCCTGGAGACCCGGCTGCCAGTCAATCACATGATTAGCTCAGGAAGACATATCCACACCTACAACCACTTTAAACTTTGGATTGTGGGAGGACAGCCACATAGGCAAACTCCTCAGAGAAAGGAGAAACAAAACAGGAGGTCCAAATTTAAATGCTATTCACTTTGCTTTAATTCAGTGTCATTTTAATCATAGACTTCCCTGAGCACGTTGGATTTTATTAACTTAGTACATGAAAAGTGTCAATTGTTTTTAAAATTTGTTGAATCGATTCCAGCACCAACTTTTCGTGCATGCAAATCAATTTGTAAAAGTTTTTTCTTTCACTACATTTCATATTACATTTGTCCAACTTAAGGGAACTGAGGTAAATATATAGATAAAAGGAAAATCTTCAAAGACTCATACCTTTGTGAAGTGTAATCCTGGACTGAGCTATTTATATTTACTCTCCCACTCAATACATGAAATGGGTGAGTATGTTTTGAATTGCTATGAAGTAAGGTGGTGCATAGTTCCACTGAATGCATGCACCTTATTTGATTACTTTACTATGCCAGCTGAAGTAAGTCACCAGAGGTTATCACAAACAAGTGTCACAAACTACAGCTGTTTAATTAAGTGAACGATCCTGTAATCATTTAAAAGTGGAGATGTCAGATTTGATATCTTCATGTTTCAGATGAATTACAGTGTTTTGTTTGGTTGCACCAATAGGCGTAGCTGCATGGGCATTTTAGCATTAGAAAAAATATGTCTTTGCATGCTGTTTTTCCTATTTATGGTATCAGGTACTTTAAATTGTAATTCAGAATCAGAATCAGAATACTTTATTGATCCCTGGGGGAAATTATTTAATTGTCGTGTGTTGCATCTGTGTGTGTGTTTTGAAACAGGGTCTTTTTCCTATCTTCTAGAGATCTTCTGAGTTAGACATCTTATGCAACTCGGTGCATTTTAGCATGTAGACATGGTCAAGACGACCTGCTGAAGTTCAGTCAGAATGGGGAAGAGAGGTGATTTACAAGACTTTTGGACACCAGATGAGCTGGTCTGAGTATTTCACAAGCTGCTGATCTACTGGGATTTTCCCATACAACCATCTGTAGTTTTCACAGAAAATGATCGGAAAAAGAGAAAATATCTTCAGTGAAAATGCCTTGTTGATGCCAGGGGTCAGGGGAAAATGGCCAGGCTGCTTGAAACCAACAGAAAGAAAACAATAACTCAAATCGTCACTGGATTGAACTACTGGATGTAGAAGACCGTTTCTGAGAGCACAGCACATGGAACTTTGAAGTAGATGAGCTACAGCAGCAGAAGACCACACTTGTTAGCTAAGAACAGGAAAGTGAAGCTACAACTAACACTGGCTAACTAACACTGACAATAGAAGATTTGTAAAATATTTCTGTCACCAGATCTCAATCCAATAGAAAACTTTTGACCTGTGATGGAACGTCTGTATAAAATATTTAAATGTATGCCTCATAGCATATGTTCTTGTAGCCTAAAAACAGTATTTTAAAAGTCAGTAACACTGTTGTTTGGCAGTGTTTTGGAAGAATTTTGACCAGTGAGATAATTTCTTTTTCCCCACAGGAGTAACCCTACTAAAGTTACCACCAATGCACATTTTATATGCAGCTACACAATATGCCTCATAAAATCAAGTTTTGCTGGACAAATCTGCTTCTACCTGAAGTCGCAAGTCAAATAAGGGCTGCTTAGTGAAGATTCAGTGCTCCCCTAAAACAGACGTTTTCAATAAAAGGTTTAGTGTACTACATGCTTTCGTCAAGCCTATGCAAGAGCAACAGAGGGCATTCGCAGGGGCCAGGTCTAAGGAGATAGACAGAGAGAGAGAAAACAGATCATATAAGGTCCCTCTTTCTAATAATTTCAGGAATTTCATTATTTCCTCAGAAAATATTTGTCCAGAGTTTTTGGACATGCATGTTGGGAGAAAGGGGTCACGCGGTTTTTGATGCTGAAATGAATGAGTCAGCATCAGCAATGAATAAGGGGAGAAATTCTCTATTTAATTTACTAATCACAATTTCAATTTTTTAACAGCCTTGGCCCTTAACACTTTAGTGTGCAAGAGAGAATCAAAGCGAGACTCAGTTTTACTGTAGTCAGCTGACAAAAGCTGAACATACAAAAAGCTTTTGTATGTCTGTATGTGCATGTGTGCATGTTTCTGATTTCACACAGTGTTGACTATGTTGTCGTGGATGTTTTACATTTTCGTTTGCTGCCGTTACAGGAACTCAGTCCCCAATGACACTATCATAGGGATGTAACCAGAACTGCTCTGAGAATTGAACTATCTATCTTACTCAAACCTCCCTGCAAATTACCCTTTACCTCACTTTACACCAACCGCCCAATGTTCTCTCTCATAGACCCCTCAACTATTTCCCCATCCAATAACCCATGTTTCCCACTCTTGCCTCTTATCATGTTTTTTCAGCTTAGATGAGCCACTTGGGAGAGACAGGATTTTCCATGCATTTAACCACACTACTTTTGTCCTGGGAAAACAAGTTTCAAAGACTTACAAAGAGAGAGAATGAGAGAAAAAAAAACGAGGGAGGGAAAGTGCAAAAGGTAAGGCGAGTGAAGAAAATTGATCCTAACTATAATGAAGTGTCACTGCAGGGCATCTCTGCTGGGGAAATTCAGGAGTCCATGAGGCAGCTCAAACTGTCGTGTTAATGCTTTTATATCTGATACATATTAAATGGGGGATTATGACTTCATCCATTTACATCCATATATAATTCATATAAAGCCATAAATTCGCCTCGTATACATGTGTCTAGGGCAGCTAAGTGTGAAAGCTGGGGCACGCTGGCATGGCAATGACAGTCTCATAGCCAAGAACACTTTTGAAATTAGAGGGGGCCCTCAGCTCCCCTGTCATCAAGTCGGTCAACACCACAGCCCCATCATTCATCTCTGTCTTTATTACTATACTTAGGCTCTCTTCTTTAACCTTCCAGCTTAGTCCTCGGAATATTTCTCCCTTCAAGGAACACACATGCATAAGAAATGTTGCTGAGTTTTGTTTTTTTTTAAATCATTGTTTAGAGACATATGAAACAGATGATTGGATAGCCCCGGGCCTTTCTACCTCTCCAAGTTCTTATCTGAAGTAAAAGCCCTTAATGGAGTGCTGAGTGTAACTCTCTCACTTTCTGGCAGAAATGTGTGAAACGCTTCATCAGAACCTTACTTGACTTCGGAACCACAGTCACCTTGCCAATGCAATATCAGCTGAATTCCCCCATGTGTCATATTTTCAAAGGACCACCAACAGAATCTGGCTATATATTATCCCGTCAAAGCCAGATGCGACCCTGCATTCCTACGATAGCCCACGTAAAGCCACCCACCTCCCACAATCCCTTCAGTCCTCTAGTTATGCAGAAAATCTACTTTTTCACTTCTCCCAGCCCCCACAAGAGTGCAGGTGAAACTTTGACAACCGGTGGGCAATGGCTTTAAAGGGGAAGTGAAAAGTCCTGGTATTTACACCCAAGCACTCCATTATGTTTTATGGGACAGGGGCTTAAGGTTTAGACGACCAACTGTAAAACTCTATGTCAAGAGCCCTGCACCAAGCTGGAATACAGCGTGGAGAAGGAGTGAAAGACATGAGACACTCCATCCATTAACCTGCCACAGAGAGAGGTATTGACTCAGGAGGGAGGGGGCAGGGATGGCAAGAGGCTGAGGGAAAACAGATGACCTGTTCGCTCCTGACAATGCCAAGCCAGAACTTCATTTTCTAAAAGGCTAAAATGGTTGATTGTGAGGTGTTTCCAAAAGATTTCTTTCATCAGTTGCTCTCAAAAATGTCATGTATTAAGTTCCTGTGTACCCTGTGATTTTGTACCTGTAATTATATCAATCTCTAATTGGGAATAAAACAAGCACGTATGTCTACATATGTCAGCTTGTCCAACAATAGATACTCATTCTACCATTCAGAAAGTGGATTCTCATTGCATGCATTACACACACACTGTCAGATATATCAGGCTCCAGACATGAGAATGTTTAGCCTTAAAATGAATGCTGTCAGATAACATCAAATACCACCAAAACCAGAAGAAGTGTCAAAACCGAGGTCTGTGAAAACAATGCAAAACATTCTCTTCAGCCAAATGTGGAGCGGGGAGGGGGAAATATTATTAGTGGTATTTTCAGAAGAGAAACCGATGCAGCACCACTGAGCTGCGTGTGTCCTGTGTTAGCCAGATTTTTTTTTTAAAAACACTACATGTAAGTGGTAACAGGCCCAAATGCTGCAAAAATAAATGCAGGACCTCACAACCATTGTTCTCCTGCATACGCAGTACATTGTTCATCCAGAATTCCATAATTAGGGAGGAATGTCAAATTGTTTGTACTCTCTGCAAGTCTCTCTCCAGACATACCATAATCAAAACAAAATAAGCAACCACTTGGGGAGATTATATCTATGTTTTAGGCAAAAATCTTTCTTTCTGTGCATTTTATTTTCACTTTTGCTGCTATCCTTCCTTTCACAAGCCCATCTTTCAAATGCCCACAGGGAGACTTTCACATTGCAACAGCACGCATTTTGCCAATACTTGATGTCTAAATGAAGTAGTTAGAAACCCATTAATCAAGTGGTGGCTAATGATGACTAAGTTGGAAGGGATGTGGTGGGAACTGAGATATGGAAGCAATGGCAAACCCACCTGCATTACCCTCTGATGTTGTTAATTAGATGTCATTATTTAGCTATTTAGCAGTCATTTTAAACAACGGGACAGTGCCAGATAGACAGCGCTTCCAGCTTAGCTGTGATTGAAAACAGCCTCGTCTCCTTGATTCATACTAACAGAAAGCCCCAAACAATCCCACACACTAGGTCTACCTGCTTATGTCCCTTTCACTTGTCCTCACATGACAGTGGCAAGAAATACTGACCAAGCCTTGCCGTTTCTCTCTCTTTTTCTAGCATACCATAAAGACCCCCTGCACTGTCCGCAAAAATGTCTCACTCCACTGTGTTGAGTTTCAGTGTACCAAGAAACAAACAATCCTGCTATTGGAGGTCTGGCGCAAACCTTAATACAGCAAAATTCCAGAGATTTATTCTCCTTGCCAGCTTTTACTCATCATCTACAAACCACAATGAAGTTACCACAAAAACAAAAAAAAATTGAATGCATTTATGAGCAACCCCTGTCTTCTCCTGAAGTTATGAAATCGCATAATATTCTTCTTCCTATAAAGCGCTGCAAAATGCCTCGGGAATTTTGTTACAGAGGCTATTACATGCAAGTGAAATTACGTTCTTTACATTTCTTTTATGGATAATTCTTTACGAGAAGATGTTTAGGCACTCATACCTGTCTCATTGGGACTCACAAGAGTGGTATTTCATTGAAGTGAATTCCTTTGCTATACGGAAAGAAAATATACTGGACCCTCCTTTTGACTCCTAATTGCCCTCATGCTGTGTTTAGAATGTCACTCTTTCCAAACTCTCCTTCTATAATCAAGCCAGTTCAATGAAGACCTCTGGGTATACGAGACAGAGTAGAAAAAGGTGGGGAGAGTTGGTGAAAACTGGATACAAGAATGAGTGGTCTGGCCTGCGCGTTTGCTACCAGGAAAGTCATCCAGTTGCGTTTGTTTTACCCTGCTTAAGTGTGGAACACTGATTGAACCAGTCCAAGGCTAGATTGGACTTGCTGCCCCCTGAGGATTTCCTCGGCCACACAGGCTGGGAGTTGAGTTACACTCAGCCTTAGCCCAAATGGTCAGGAAACAGTAGGAGTAGACATAAAGAAAAGCTTTCTACAGGGACACATGTATGGAAAGATTGGCTGTTTGATTTACTCTTGGCATTCGAGGCAATAGTGCAGAGTTGGTTTACCAAAATTACTCAATTATGTCAGAGTAAAAAAAGAAAAAAAAAGAACTATAAAATCAGTAAATGCTTTTTGGAGGATTACAGTAAAATATGTTTATTTAAAAAATACCAAAGAAAACACTGTATCATACGAAATGTCAAGAAAGTATTCTTACTTGTGTGGAGAGGAACGGTTGAAGCATGTCTTGGTCACGTCTGTCACATTGGGGTTGCAGCAGTCGCCAAGATCATAGAAGAAGTTTTCCCAGTTACACTCAGGGTCACATATACCATTACCCTGCTTGTGTTCAGGGCAGCTGTTTCGATATCTAGATATGCAGTCGCCTGCATCAAATCCTGTTAGCGGATGGTTGCATTCTAGGTCACACTGATCATCGCCAATTTTGCTGATGTCACAGTTAGCTAAGATCAGGCGGTTGCGTAGAGAAGAGTTGGTCACGTTGTGAATGCTAAGCTCCCAGGTTATGTTATAGGGGCTGAAGGCGTCATTAAGCTGCTGATGCTGCAGAATGATCTGGTGGTCTGACACAGTTGGCCTTGTCCTTGCATCATCCCAAATATTTACAACACGATATCGAACTTTCTTTGGTCGGCGGAAGGTCCAAAGTTGGTTGTAGTTTCGAATGACCTCAACGTTGTCACAGACAGTTTGACCACAAGTTGGAGGTTCCAAGCTTGTGTCCAGGAATCCCTCAGCATTTCCATTTCCACCACCATTCACAAACCCTGACCTCGCACCTCTTCTGTGCTCAGGCTGAGGAAAACTACCATCTTTTACAGTCAGCCACTTACGACCTGGGTGCTCAAATGTTTCACGAATTATCAGCTTAGGTAGATCTTGGGGGTCCTCTTGGCCTTGCATATCCCTGATGATATGCCTCTGCCCTCGGGCCTCCCTCCATAGACTCACCCTTTCCACTGCCCCCCTGTAATTATGATTGAGTGCATTGCCCCCAATCATCAGCACTTTGCACTTTTGGGTCAAATGGCTGAAGACATCGCCGGATTGCTCTCGACTAACGGCGACCTGGGCTCCATTGACGAAGAGCTTCATGTACACGCCATCATAGGTGATTGCAATATGTGCCCATTGGTTTGGTATATAACGAGCGTTGGAGCGCATTGAGGTCACTTTGTGGGCACGGTCAGTTTTAAGGGAGAAGAAGAAGCGGGGATCGCGGTCGCCGTATTCACTATCCGCCTGGATGCCAAGCAGCCAGCCTCGGTCACTGGAGGCATAAAAGCATTTGTCGTAAAGGCCTGAAAAAAGAATGAAAAATCAGTCAATATGTTAATACCTTTATTTGCAGGAGTTAAACAAAAAGAAAGTGAACACATTAACTAAAAGTTCATCATCTCCTGAGGAAGAGCTAGGAGCTATGCAGAAGTGGGCTTGTAGAATAACTATAACACAGTACGTCAGTTTCATTACCAGTTTTCCCTGTGATAATATTTCAGCATTACTTTCAATATATTCACTATATTATCAGTACCTTTTGAATATTTTATGCAATATGTGTAAAAGTGTCGTTTATTAAGGGGAAACAGGAAATGTAAGCAAGGTTAGTGAGCAAATATATTAATAGATTTTTTTTTTCCAATCTAAGACCTGAATATTGGGTTGAAGTGCTTGTTTAGCTAAGAGAGAACCAATGGAAATCTCTCACTATAGGCTTTTCATGAACACTGAGCACATTTAAAGTAGTTCATGTAAATGTCTCTTGCCAGTGGGTTAGCCAGAAAAGACTACTTTTCTGCTAAAGTCATGTTTTTGCAGAGGCACCAAAACACCTTTTTCCTGTTTTACTTGGACTGTGTATGCCAGCTTAAGCATTGTAATGTGTTTTCACTTCTTAGGGGATCTCTGAATGCTAACTGTTTGTTTGTTTAGCACTTGTTGAGGTACATGTGTGCAGGCACACAAGTCCACATCTGTGCATACTGCATGTGTTTATTAATGCGTTTCATGACTCTGAGCATATATCCATACAGTCCCAAGTGTGCAAATATTCCAAAACCACGGGGAAACGCCTTACAAGGTCCATTTCAGCCTGTGGAAATCTACCGTATGTGTTCACAGGTGGGGATAGACCTGAACTGCACTCTTGTAATTTCTACAATTGCCAACATCATGCGCTTTTATGTAATTATATCTACCCACAAAGAGACACTCGATCCGTGACCTGAAGACCCAGCTCATATAGATATGAAGTATTCTTTACAGTTGCCGTTACGATGAGTGCTTCAAATTCCTGTAAATGCCCTTCATATTTTTCTCTGCTGCCTTTATTATGGTGTGAAAGCTGATGATCACATCTTGGCCTCAGCTCACTTGTCAACTTGGGTGCCTTTGTTGCCCATCGATTAGGTTACCTGAGCCTCTAATAAGTGGCTGGCTAATGGTAATTGTACAGACCTGCTAACTTTGACCTGTTTCTAATTAGATGCACACTGCAGTGTGCATTCCTTAACTTGGTATTTTCACGGAATAATGTTCAAGGGGTGAGGGTTGGGTTCAGCGTCAAGGTCAGTCCTTCAGTGGATGACGTTTTCAGGCTTTCCACTACACTGGAAGGAAAAAGCTTCCCATCTGCCAGCTAGAGCACTCAAGGCAAAAAAAAAAAGGTGTGCTAAAATGCTCATAGGGCTCCTAGTGTAAACAGCTGTCATAATTCTGCCATGGTCAATTTATCTAACATGGTATGCTTTTCCAGACCCAATATTGTGACTGCTGGGTCTCGCACAAAAACACTTAGGCACACATATGCACATACTTATAAAGACATGCATATATACATTCTCATGAACAAATACACACACCCATGGCCATATGCACAGACAAAATGAAATAGTGAAGTGCACATTTGTGTTCACATATAAACACACACAAAGAGACTGGCGTGTGCTTCAGTCGACCACTGTTTCTGTCAGCTTCAAATGCAGCCCTCCTTGCACTTGCCATTTGTCTTCTTTTGTGAAAACACACTCAGGAAAAAAGGAAAAGTACAAAAACACACATACCCTCACAAAGAAAAATGTCACAAGGTCTTGATAAAAAGCAGGAAGGAAGGGAACATTAAAGACTCTGTTTACTTTTGAACTGTTTTTGCTCTAAAAGGTCAAAGAAAGGCACTTTCATGGTCATACCTAAGTGACCACCAGCTATTTCCCCATGCAGACAATGGAAAATCCCAATGACATTTTAAAACAAACAAGGATATCATTCATAAAAATATCATTGCACTTTAAAACACTTACCTTTTGACATAGCTTTCAAGTCTCACTCCAAATTAATTCAGCTAAATAATTTGCAGTCATTTTAATTTGGGGTATTAAACAAACCCTTTTCCAAACTGCCATTCAGCCACAATAAGGCGGTGCATAGCTAATAATGCTTAGGACTGATAAGAAGTTTAAACCTCTAGTTGAGGTAACGATTGCTAAGAATAAGTGTTAGACTCTGAGCTTAACCTTTCTTTAAGCATCAACCTCTTTGTGGGTAACTAGCTGTGATCATACACAGCAATGTGCAAAAGTCTTGTGCCACACCTTATTGTCTAATATGTTGTTAGTTGCTGTGATTTATGGAAATATGTGCAAATATACATAGAGTACTACACTACATGAGTTTGCGCAATTTTACCAAACTTGAAGGTAATCTTCAACCTCAATAACCAGCGCAGCCTCTCATAGACAAGCTTTCTTGTCACTTCAATGAGCAGATCTTCAAAGCTCTTCTTTGGATGTTGGCTGCCTCTGTTACTGTTTTCTGTCTCTGTCAGAACGATCCCACACTGCTTTAGTAATGTTGAGGTCCAAGCTCTGTGTAGGCCAATCCATGACTGATAAAGGAATGCGTTACTGCATTGGCAGTAGGACTTCTCTGTGTTCATAACATCCTCACCTTTGACAATATCCAAACACCACTTGCGGAATTGCGAAAAAAAAAATCAAATTTGGATTCGTCACTCCATTAAGATCTGTTGCCACTGATTTTCAGTCCAGTCCAGTTCTCCTGTAATTCGGCAAACCTCAGCCTTATTTCCATGTTTTAGTTCCTTGAGAATGGCTTCTTATCTCTCTTTAGCAATCATTGTGTTTTATGTCAAGTTACTATTTACAAAGTGCCTAAAGATGTGATTGGCAGTTCTTTGCTCAGCTGTCTGTTATCTGCAGGCACAATATTGGTTCATATCTCTAATTAGGTGTCTTTTTATGTATGTATGATACATAGCTTATGGTTAAAATATAAAAAAACAAAAAGACATTCTTATTCAAATGATCAACTCCAAGGACTGGACTGAAAATTAATGCAAAAGCAGCCAATGTCCAAAGAAAAACTGTGAAAGAGCTTCAGAAAGCCTGGAGAACTATTGCTCAAGACGGCTTAAAAGATTCGCAGGAAGGTCTGGCACCTTGGAAGCAAAATATAGGAAAATAAGAGGAAGCTCAAAGGTTTTGCACAGTACTGTATCACACTTAAATTAATAAACCAATAAGATACTTTTTCTAAGTAGCCATGAAAAAAAACCTTAAACAAACTTAGTTTATGAGAATGATATCTATTGTGTATCGTCCTGCAATGAGGAGATACATCTGTTATCAACTTAATTATCTGCCAGCGACTGCACATAATTGTCTCCAGCAGGTTATGAAGACAGCCTGCACTCCTCTTGTGATTTATTTTCCTCTTTCGGGAAAACCCGACATGACCTGGATACAAAGGCTAATCGGGCACAACAAATTTGGATAACATTCGGACGCAGAACTTGATGTTCTGATTGTGTGCTTAGAAAGGTATGTGTGTTTGTGAGTGGTGCTCTGTAACAGTTCAAATACTAAACCTGGGATTAATTCTGACCACATGTAACTGTCAAATGTGACCCAGAGGGGTCTTGTGATTGGTTTTAAGGGGCTGAAAACTATTCAACTGTGTATTTACAAATGTTTTATTTGATCACATAGATACTATGAAACTATAGCTTGAATAGTTCCTTTATCATAAAAAATAGTTAATAAAAAAAAGCCAGTCTACAAATATGGGCTGCAAAAACTGATAAACCTCTTTAAATGCTGATATTTTAATATTTTGCCAAAACAAAAACTCTATAAATATAATAAAAGTAACTTAAAGCTAAGTCAGTCATACTGAGTGCAATAAGGGAAGATAGTTTTCTTTTATCTATTTTTCCTTACTGAAGGCATTTTGGGCACAATCCCATTCAGAATAATTTTATGAGGCCAGAGGAAAGAAACTCTTACTCCAACTGGTCAAAGAGTCTCAAGTAACATAATATATTTCACAGTTGAGACTGCGCTCACTCTAACTAGTCAGTTGCACAGAAAAGAGCATCCTGTAAGAAACGTATAAAAATGGGGGAGGGGGGGGGGGTGCAATTGTGGCAGTCAAAAACAAGACAATAAAAAAACAGTTCCTCCAACAACACTGTGCTTAGATCAAAACATGGGGATGGAGCATTTTAGGGGCACAAGGATTTTGAGGTCTCAATTGGTTTTAAAAGATTAGGCTCAGTTGAAATTGTTAGACTGACAAATTTGTTGTCTTTAGGTCCAATCTCTGGCTCACTGATGGAAGGAAATCTTAAAACTGAATACACAAGATTATACAGGAATAGTAATCTCTAGAAGGCAGTGGTAGGTGGGGGGCTGGGCACAACAACAACAACACCTGTAAAAAATGATGAAATCCCATACCACATCTGCAAGAACTATAACGTTCATTTTTGTCAGAATTGTGTACGAGATGTGTTTATTTAACTCTGTGGTCAATATGGAGGCCGCCCTTTGTGCTATTGCTTTACTGGATTGCATTATATTGCACAGATGTTCCTGTTATCATGTCCATCCTCTATAAAAAATCAGGAGTCACTCAGGTCACAACAGACCCTCTTACCCCCCTCTCCTCTAGATTAAGACTCTTACAAGGAACTGGCTTTCCAGAGCATGTTCCTGCCAACTGGCTAGGGTTAGCTACTGTATGTGAATACAGGCAGGCAGAAGTGAATTTTTTATTATTATTTTATTTTGTGTGTGTGTGTGTGTGTGTGTGTGTGTGTGTGTGTGTGTGTGTGTGTGTGTGTGTGTGTGTGTGTGGTACCAGGGTTTTTGTTTTCTGGGCGTTTCTTTTGGAGGGCGAGGTGTTTGTCTGATTGTTTTTGTTTGTTTTGGGTAGATAGATTAGGACACATGCGGCAACAACGGAGCAAGGAAGCAAGTAAGTAAGTAAATGTATTGGTAAAGTTGAGTAAAGTCCCCTAGACGTGTGGACTTGGAGTAAGCTGAGGAGGACTGAGTTCAATTCAGTTCAGTTCAAAGAAAGCCATCTGCACAAGTACTGTGGCAGACAACGAGTTGCTACGCTCCCTATCGGCAAAGAAAAGAAATAAAAGAAAAAAGATATCCGATCCTGTAATGCACAAAAGCTCCGTTGGTCACAACCAACAATGCCGTTTAAACGCCTTTTCAGTGCTTCTTTACGCACGGCTCGAGAACAGGAGAAAAAAAAGCGCACAGATGATACAGTGCTTTCCTCTGACGGCTGGGTCTTACTGAAGTGACTGGACCCCGCTATGCTCTGTCGCTGGATAGAGAGATGCATCATCACTATCTGATTGTGCCTTAAATTAGAAACTCGCCGATGATGACGACCATGATTTCACAGAAGTATCTGCGTTTTGGTGACAGTGCACAACACCATGAAAGCACACCACATAAACATAAGCATCACATTTTCGCTCAAGAAGGGGGGAAACCCTGGATCCCTCAGTCCTGTCTCGTAACTCCGGTAGCCAATCCAAAGGTGTCGATTTGGAGGGGCCGGGTGGGGAGGGGGACACAGAAACACACACACGCGCGCGCGCACAAGCTTGCGGCTTGAGCTGCGAGCTTTGAGCGCCTCCACATACATCGAGTCTCTCCCGTTTTGTGCCTGACGTGACATGCTCCCTCCCAAACTTTTGGCCATTACATCATAGCTTTAAAATAGCCAAGTCGGTTGAGAGATTACATTTTACGCGCAGTGACATCAGCTGCCGGTCAACTGATGCAGTAGCCTATATCTGCTGCTACTAATCCCCACTTACATTTCATGACTTACAATTCTTATTACTCACGTACGCGAACATTACAAAGTGGTAAAACAGAGGGGGGGGAACACATTTGCGTTATAAATTTTTACTGCAGCGATCATACCTCTGTAAGGTGGAAATCTTAAATATGATCAAAATCTTCAGTGACCCTATAGTTGCACTACCTAAAATATCCGCTGTACTTTTTAGAGCATTACATCATTGTCTAGTCTGATAGATGAACTCGTTTTCAACTCGCTGAAACTGCATGTTGCTTTGTTAAATAGACTGGGATAAAACGCTGAAGGTTTGCACGTTTATCTTCCATTCTTTCTTCAGTTTGAAGTTTAACTAATAAAAGGAGTTGTGCAGATGATAGGATGGAGGATGTGCTATAAAGTAGCCTACCTGCGATCACCGTAGGCGATCGTTGACCTCCCTCCGGTTTGATCCACATCTCCACAGTGAAATTGCCTCTGGGTATCTCCACGCCAGGCTTCAGCCGTAGCTGATCTCCCCTGCCGGTAAAATAGACAGCTTTCCCTCGGTCTGGTGAGTTTCCCTCCGCTTGAGAGGAGCGCCGGCGCTGCCGAAGCACCCGTCGCTCCAAGCCGGGCAAAGAGCGTTTGCCCCGGGGCAGACGTGTGGCACAAGCCCCTGGGATGGTGGCTTTCGCCTCCCTAATGCGCACCAACTCCCTCTTGGATCTCCCCTTTTTCCGGACTATCCCGCACTCTGATCCAAAACACAAGATGAGAATCACCAGGCAAGACACCCAGGGTGATGTCCAAAGTTTCATTTTTCGGGAGAAGAAATGGCAAAAAATAAAAAAATAAAATAAAATAAAATATGAGGAAAAAATAATAAAAGAAACAGTGGAATAACTACAAAAAATATGTCCACAATGTTCTTCTCTTTGGGATCCTCTCGAGTTTTTCCTTCTCCCTTTTTACAGCGGTAGAATGTCAAACCGTAGAAACTGTCTAAATAAACCCATAAAGCTATGCTGTTTTTCCCTCTTTATAATGCTAAGCCACGACCCCCTCTCTTAAGCAAAACTACTCTGGAGACATTCAGGGGACACAGGAATATTTCATTCATGTATGTGTTCCACGGTGCCTTTTCAATGGGTCCCATTTAGCCAAAGGGATGACTAATAAGTAATCAATCAAGAGGGGGGTCCGGCCGATGCCCCCGCATCCCCCTTTGGACGGTAGGAGTTACTTGCAGAAATCCACAGTTGTCCGCCAAGCTCTTGTCACACCTTTTTGTTGTTTCCTTCCCTACCCGTAAAAGACAGTAAGTAATGGCACATAGACTATTAAATTCCAAAGGAAAGTGTCAGCAAACCGACCTCTCATATTTATTACAGAAAACAAGAGGTGAGATGTCATTAAAAAATAAAATAAAAAATAAAAAAAAGGAAATCCAAAACTTCCCTTTTCCTGTGTGCCTGTATAAAAAGTTGAAATGTACTATAATATCTAGTTAGTCAGAAGAGAGACACGGGGACAGAGAGCTGCACAAGTAACCATCGCGATCCTCATTGATTGCCTGAAGCAGATACACTTGGGGGAGTCGGAGCTCGTTGTCAGCTTTAGAGGACTTCCAAAGTCTTTTAAAGAACAGGTCATGTTTCAAATGTTCAGGGGCTGTGTGCGCGCGCGTGTGTGTTTGTGTGCTTTTTTCATAGTGGGAAGTCACACAGGTAGGCAACTCTCACTGAGGGTAATTCTCTCTATGGCACATAGTGAAAGGATGATGTTTTCGCTGTTTGGAAGGCGTATATGTATCCCTCTAGTGGTTACAGTTTAAACAATCCAGCACTTCTACGAGTCCACAGCACAGGACCTCAACCAAGCACTCTGAAGTCATAAAAAACGAGTTCAGTCTGTGTCGTTCTCCCTCCACTTCCGAAGCTGAAATAGTCCTCAGTGTAAATATTATTTACATTGCAGGAGTTAAGTCATTTATTTTGTAACAAGCCAAATAATATCTGGAACTGGTAAAGAACAAAAAGTGTCGCTACTCACGGTCATCTGGGAAAGTCCTCAGTTTTAAGTGAAGGACAATGTACTTTATGAAAGGTAATTGTCCTGTACTGTCAAAGTCATGTTTCCCATTAAGGCAATTTCCAAATGAAGTAAGCAGTAGATCAGAGAAGTAATGGGAGAACAATGGCAGCTTCAATCTCATATTTACTTAACTTAATTTGATAGATTATATGTTGATTCTTTTTTTTTCTTTTATTTAAAAGCCTCGGCATAATGCTTTTAAACAAGCAAAAAAAAAAAAGAGTCTAAAACAGCTTGTTTATGAAACCTAGCAAACTCTATTAAACTCAGGCTATGTTTATCCTATTATATTTACCACACAAGGACTATTATTTTTTTCAAAGTAACGTGAAAAGGGAAAAGAAAATGTAAGAGATTTGCAAGTTTCAGGTTGACTCACACTTAGTAGTGTTTACCGATCATCGCTTTTGATGGATGTGAATTTGAAAACCACACACTCAAAACTTTCTAAGCCTTTAAGACCGAGGACAAAGTAGTCATGAGTTTCAAGCTGCCGAGTGAAATGAAAACAGTCCTTTGGTCAGTGTTACTGTTACTCTGAGGATAGTTTGACACACAGAAAAGAGAAGGCCTTTACCTTTAGTGGCTTTCCATACAAACGGAGAGCTGGAATGTCAGCATTTCCCTCTGTTTTCCTCCAGTTGTTTGTTGTAAATGTGTGTTTAGACAGCCAAAATTTACAACCTGCCATAAAGAGAAGACAGTGTAAACACCAAATATTTGCTTTCTTTTTCATATGGCATTGTGACTTTGTGTCGCATATTTCCTTTTGTGTCTTGACCAGGTTCTCGCTGAAAAAGGTGTTTAAAAGTTGCTGTAAGTACTGTAGAGTTTTGCATGGATCTTTTTTTTGCCATTTAATTTTATTTGTTTTTCTTTTTGTAGAAGACATCAGGAAACTTTGTGACCAAACCCTGAATGTTAACACATATTCTTTATTTGCTTGTGAGCCAACTTTTCCTTGTATGTGAGATTGTGTGTCTGAAACACTTTCAGACATGAGAGCTTAGGGGAGTTGTTTTTGGAATGCAGTTTATTCAACTTGTATCCATTTAGTGAGCAAAATGCAAGTTTATAGTTATGTTCAATCTACTTTTTTCATAAAATATGGGTAGTATCAGGTGCTAATACTGCAGGAAAATTGAAATGAAAACCTACTAAGGTATATCCAATTACACGATGAAAGACTTCTCCAGTCCTGTAATTACATTCTTCACTTCTTCCCTCCACAGATCAGACTGTCACTCTCTCCTTTTCTGTCTCTTCTGCTTTACTTTTGAAGGAAAACGACTGCTGAAGAAAAGATGGCATAATGTCTCCCAGTCAGCATCCTTTCAGGTTGGTACACTATGTTCAGACTGCGAGGATTTGGAGATGGTGGGGGTGAGGAGGAGGAGGAGGGGGGGGGTGACCTTTATGTGTGAAACATGCTCACATAAAGGTCATTCACCATTGCTGTGTTATGCAAGGAGATTGAATTGAACTGTTTTAGTATAGTCTTGCACCAACTGTCCGAACCCTCGGGGAATGAACGAATCGTCGTGCTCAAAGTTCAAATCGTGTGCCTTCTTGCCCCATTTGTCAGTAATGGAGCATCATAATAGCTTTTCTTTTCAAAAACAGGCCGATTCCAAGTTATTCCAGGGTTTGATGGTGCAGGAAGGAAGCACAGTGCCCTGTGTTAGATAATGTCACAGTACCCTCCACCAAAATCTGAGTTAGATCATAAAGCAGCGTAACGTCACGTTCAGAAAGTCATCAAGGTTCATGTGAGTGGACAAAAGAAAAGAAATAAAAGTGTGTTTCATATACATATAAAGTGGTCAAAATGGATAACTGATATATTTTAAGCTTAACAAAGTTGAAAAGTTGTAACTGTAACAGTCTATTTTTTTATCATTTGTTTTCTTAGTGCAGCACATCGTATAATCATGGCGTATAAGGGCGAAGACAATCCCAGCATAAAGACATAGGCCAAGAAAAGCTTTTGTAGTAAGGATAAGAGACATCAGGATTACTTGGCTTCAATATCTAAATAACCCTCCACCACTCACTTGTAACCATGAGAGATTACATGAGTGAGGTCTCGACACAAATGGACAATAAGTCAGTTTTCAATAGAAATATCTGCATGTGCGCGACAGCCATTTAAATGTTGTTTTCACTACAGTCACAAGAATACTGAAACTTTAGCCTTTGGTTCTCGTCCTCCATTGGTGATGCGACCATTGCTGTCCTCCCATCTCTTCCGCATAAAGAAAAGTGGTTGCAGTTCTGGACAATAATCCCGTATTTCCTGCTACACATAGTACGTGACCACGGAGAAATGCGAGTCCAACAGGAGGGGAAAAAAACACATTGTCCTATAATCCATTAATGCATCCGGCTTAATCTGTTACTGTGGCTGTTCTAAAGCGCAAACCTAAATGCTTTTGCCTCATTTTTGTGGATGATCTGTAGAATGCAATGATATACACTTGAGTGTCAACAGTGTTAACACATAAAAGAATAATACAGATTAGGTTTGTAGTAAATATGAGGGGGTGGGGACAATTCTGAAAGGTTGAGAGATGTGAAAAGAAAAGCTCCACTGACAACAGGATTTCATAATAGTGCCAGAACCTGGTGAGGTGGTTTCTTTTTCTAAATATAATGCTGCTACAGAATACCCATTAAAGCCTTTAAGAGTTTAATCCAGTGATACACACAAACACATAACAGGCCAGATATTCAGTCAGCGATTGCATGAAAACTGGCACGCACACATTTTCAGGTTAAAAAAGAAAAGAAAGAAGCAGAAACAGTTCTGATTTGTTACTTTTAGAAAGAATATTGCAAAGACAACAGACAATGTAAATAATCACATAAATCACTTTTAATCTCTTTTAATGCTTTTGACAGCTGTAAGTTATATGTACGCACGGACAGCAAGTTTAGCTGGACACCGGCAATATTATATATGGACACAAAAATTAAAGACTGAGAGCATGTTGATGGTCAAAAAAAAAAGAAGATCAGAATATGGGCATACTCATGGGAAATGTTATTCATAGTGAGGACAGGTCAGATTACTGCTTTGTATGATACACAAAATCAATACACTGGAATACTTTGTGGATGAAGAGTGAAATGTCAATAATTGTGTGTTTAAATCACATCAGTTGAGGTCAGCAAATCAAACCGTCCCATGTCACATCACAGGTCACTATACATGACAGTGTATAGTCAAAAAAATAACTCAGGCACATGATTGGGAGCTTGTTTTATATCTTTAATTTAATGATAGCTTCTGGGAGTACTTGCATCCCTCTCCTGTGACACATTACATCCTCGCTAGCCTCCCATTCTGCTCCTATGTCCTGCCTTATCGAAGTGAAAGATAATTTATTAGTCATAGCTTCCAGGTATAGAGCAACAGAAAGTGGCAGGAAGACAGGATGTGACCATAGACTGTATATAAAACAATTTAACGACGTCAGAGTGTGAAAAGCAAAGTCAGTGTAGAAAAGCCTTAAACCACCATTCTTTTAAATGGCCAGGAGAGGACGACTTGTCAGCTGCAAAAATGAGCCCAGTTACATCAAAGTTCATGAAAACATGAGTGTAACATGAGCTCTAGATACAATAATAGATATCTTAATATAGGGTGTTCATTTAGTAAACTATGATCAAACTTAGAGTAGATGAAACGTAAAGGAAGGAATGCTTAAGGGCAAAGCTACTTTGTAGCTAGTAAATTTTTAATCTATTCATATATATATAAAGAAATTTCTACATATAAA